AAAGAGGAATTTATGGAGTCTACCTATTAAACTAAAACTAATTACCCGGTTATACCCACTTGGATAATAATTACTATACATACCCACTCCATATAAAATTATTACCCGTCCATCCATTAAGAAAGTCTTTAAAGGCTTCAGGGGCAACGAATCTATACCTAACCTATACGGGACCTTTCTTCCTTCAATCCAAAGTAAGAAACATTTTATTTCTCTCTTCGTCGATTTTCTCTCTTTGTTCTTGCTTCTATTTTCATAAGTAAAATTGTTTATCTGATAGGCTATATTTTTATAATATTCACAAAGTAAAATATTGATAATTAATGGGAGCAAGGAGTAGCAGTTTTTTTTTAGTTATGTGATGATTTTGTGTATACAAAAAAATATATTTGCTCAATATCTATAAATTATGATTCAATTAACTCACTACACGCATGTAGTTTAATTTTCTCTTGCTGAATGAAATCATCGCCTATTGAATACCTTTCATCGCCACAAAATTCTCTCCCTCCCAATAAATTTTATATCTCGTCGCTAATTATTCTAGTTCGAGTCATTTCCCGGAAAAATTTAATTATAATTCTGTTGCTATTAAATATTGCTTATAGTACCTTTTGGAAATTCATACTGAAATTCGCTCACAGTTGGAGCTGCTTTGAAGTGATCGAGATAGAAATTTTAGCTGAAAATCGAAAAAGAACAGAGTTATCCAACAGTATAATACTATGGTATACAATATGTTGTAGAAGTATATAGCTATACTACAATAGTATACTGTTATAGTATATAATATACTACAACAGCATATTATAATAATCGAAGAAGAACACAGTTACCTAACAATATACTGCTATAATATACAATATAATATAGGAGTATATAGTTATACTGCAACAGTATACTATTATAATATACAATATATTGTTGTAGTATACTGTAATAATATGCAACTGTAACAGTATGCTGTAATAGTATACAATATACTATAATAGTATACTTATTACCCGTAAATTCACTTATCGTTTCCCTTTTAATTTGCTTTAAGCTTTTACCCTACATGAGGGGCAAATTTAAAATGCACAAAAAATATATATTATAGTATGCTATATAATGTAGCTGTATACTCTTACAATTAGATCCTTTTAGAATTTTTTAAAATTTTTATTGACAACTGATATTATTTAAGTTTAATAATTGAATTAAATTTTTTTAACTCTTTGCGTACAATTGTATACCCTGTTGGTATATCTATATACTATACTGGTATCATCTGTTAGTTAATATTTTTTGGTTGTATTAGCTACATTTAATTGGCACAAATTTGATTTTTCTTTAGTAATAGTATAAAAAAAGAATAATAAAAAATAGTAAAACGGTAAATGAAATTAGATTATGGAGAGAAAAAGAATATAAAGAAAAAAGAAGTTAAATGAAATTAAAAAAGGAAAAAAGAAAAAATTAAGAAGAAAACGAGAAAAAAGAAAAGGAGAAAAAAAAGAGCATAGAAATTAAAAAGAATTGGAGAATAAAGAAAAAATTCCCCACAAAACTGCTATGGGTAGGAAATGTAATTAGTTCATGGGTAGAAAAACAAAGAGAAATTTTCATAAAGCACTAACTTTTAGTAGTAGTAATTAGCCATCTTAGATACCATTTGCTATATTACGGATTATAGATACTTTTTATGTGGTTATAAGATGTATTTGATGTATTTAAGCTATTGTACTCATGAATACAGTAGCAAAAATAGGCATGGATCAGGGAAGTCCAGCTAATCAGTTGTTGTATTCGACTGTATTCATGGAGTGAAACATGGGATTACAGCTGGACAGATTATTGTATTCGACTGTATTCACGGAGTGAAATAGGGGATTACACTGTTTTAAAACGGAAAGTGAATCAATTAACATAATAGACTCCTAATATAACTCAACAAACTCAATTATAACACACAAAATTTGTATTTTCAGTTATAAAAAAGATTTTCAACCAAAAAATACACCAAAAACATAGCAATCTTCAGAGAAATTATATAATACATGTGAATACATAAATTATATTAATTAAAAAGAACTTATGGATACATTCATGGCATATAGCGAGACAGTGAATACGATGAAGTATATAGAATACAACGGGATACATTGAAATATAATGAAAAAAAGACAGAGAATACAATAAAATACATGGAATACAGCGAGATACATTGAATTACAATGAAAAAAAATACAATGAAAATCAATGAAAATACAGCGTAAAACATTGAAATTACATTGAAATATATTAAAAGAAATGTTCTTCTTCATCGCGAAAGAAAGAAATCATCACTCAGTGGTTCTTCGAAATCGAATCCTCTTTCCACGACCGCCGCCATCTCCTCGTTGGACTCGACGTCGAGCGGCGGCCCAGTTTCCACCGCAACCAGCAATTCAAAGTTGCAACTCTCCAGCTCTGCGTCGAGCGTCGTCGCCTCATATTCCAACTCCTCTACTGCAGTTCAATTCCAGAAGAAGACAAAGCAAAAAGAAAGAAAAAAAGTTGGACGTTCTGATTTTCACCAAAAGTAGAAGTGTGTGTCGGAATTGATGTGGTTAATTCCATGTTTGATAGCTTTGATATATAGTGTGTGGATTCCCTTTCTCGTAAATGGCACTCGTTAGATAATCAAGAGTCAAGAACGGCGGCGGAAGGATGGGAACGCTGGTGTAATTGATTTTAATTTTAATGAAAATGGTATTTATTTAAAATAAATAAGGTGTTAACCTTTGCTATAGGAGGTAAAAATTCCAAAACGAAATGGGTAGACAAAGGTATATAATTTTATTTTTATGGGTATCTGTGTCAAACCCCCAATAAAAAAAGATATGAAAGCATGCAAGAATACACATTTCACTATGGTATATGACTTTCCTTTTTTTTTTTTTTTTTTTGGTTTGACATTTTAATAGTAATCATTGGCCAATTTTATATTTGCTGTATGAAGTCCACAAGAGGGAATTGGAGCTATATAAGATCATTCACATATTGGTAATCCGTTGGACCCCCTTCGAGATACAAAAATAGGACAAGATATAAAATTAAAAGGTTGGTGAACACGAACAACTTTTTTTATTTTAAAAACGAATATATAAAAGGTTCTTCGTCTTGACGAGACTCAATAAGCAACCAAAAGAAAAAGTGACAAAAATAATTAATCACTACATATGTTAGGTGCAAATATAATTAGCATTATCTTTAAAGTCCGCTCGTAATACTCAATATTTAAAAAGGAAAAAAATATTAGATCATATTCTCAGTAAAAACCATCAGTTTTATAATACTTTAGTACTAAGTCATCATATATTTCTAAATATAGTACATGTGAATTTCTTAGCATTTGGTGATTTAGCATGTCATGAAAGAAGGGGTATTTTGGATCCTCATTTAAGCCACATTCGAATTTCATAAACTTTTATAAGTTTATCTACTTTAGGAACAACTAGAGACACACGCGTTTAATTGAATCCGTTGTTAATACACTATATCCACCCTCGGCTATATTTTGTCAGTTGTTGATTTTGCAACTTCCACAATATTGGGCCATTGCTTTCTGCAAATCCAATCACTACGTTTTTTGCAAAATCCGGTATGTCTTCAATGACATCGACCAAATAGGACGACGCATCATCGTATTGGATTCTCGACTAATCCAAATTCATTATATAAGGATCATTAAGGAAGAAATTTATTCAGTGTCAGAATTTTTTTAATTTTCAAGATTCGAACCCGAAATGACAGATAAAAGCATGTTATTCACCTCACCACAAAAATCCTGATGGTAAATTAAATGTAAATATCATGCCACATTTCTTAAGTGTTAGATTAGATGTCACTTTCATTAGTTTATCAGCTCTGATGTTGATATTGTAACATTTTCAGCTGTTAATTCGACATTCTACCAAATTCAGCGTATAATGCTTATTATGGACAGTAATGACACAAAAAACAAAATGCTCTTTTTCTCGAAAACAGCTGTTTTATTTTCTTGTCAAACATACTTTAATTTGTTTTGTTTTCTGTAAACGAAACAACAACAAAATTCACCTACGGCAAATCCGAAAATCACACCCAAAATTAAGTCCAATCATTCACAAAAAAGAAAAGAATAAATCAAAATTAAAATTAAATTAAGTCAAAACCCTTTTCTAATTCAAAAATCACCTTAGTTTTGTTTAAAATAATTCAACTAAGAAAATTTTGAATTTCAAAACTACTATTAGGAGGCTTTGATCAAGGAAACGTTGAAGGATACATTGGTTTTAATTAATGTAAGAAAACCACTTCATGTTAAATGGAAAGTAATTAACTGCAAATCATAAGATTTGTTGATTTTTTTTAAAATATTGAAAGTCAGTTACAAATCTTTATCTGCCATTTCTCCAAATTTCAAATTTTCTATTTAATATATTAATATGCATGTTTGTGTATTGTCTTTAAACTTTGCCTTTTCACTTCTACTTGGCATAGGTAGAAATACCACTAGCATTATTTACAGGGATTTGTTCTATCAAGTTATTCAATTTGGCTTTAATTCTTCCTGAAAAGAGTTTTAGCGCAACGGTAGAAGTGCCACCACGTAATCATGAGGTTACATATTCAAGCCGGAATTTCACATTCTCTGAGACGGACGCAGGATTTGAAGGTGACGGGGCATATAAGCGAGTGCCTCCATCGAACTTTTAGTCTTAAGGGTTCCAATCAAAACATATGACCATTTTCAACATATATACACTTATATATTAAGAATTATAGCGGAAGGTAACGGGGTCCAGTGACCCCTCTTCTACGTGCATAGGTCCGCCTCTGCCTGTACCGTGCGCATAACGGAAGCTTAGTGTGTACGCTTTCAGAATTTAATATGTTACTATTTTTATCAGGTTATCATTTAATGATTATCAAGATATTTATCTGTAGTTACCTAATGAATGACCTGATTATAAGTTACAAATCCTACTTTGACATTTCTTCAAATTTTAAATTTTCACGAGTTTTTTAGAGGGATATAACATGGAAAGTTTGTTACAAATTCTAAATTTTGCCATCAGACTTCTACATGGGGCAGGTAGAAATACACAGCAGTAGAGAGATTTATCCTGTTTGAGATTTGGGAAGTTGAAAATGGAAATGGAAGTAGAGAAGAAAAAGAGAAGCTTTAGTTATGAAATTGGAGATCAAAAGCTTAAACTCATTGATATTTCTTCAGAGGAAGATTGTCTTATTGATTCGCCTTTGTTTGATTCTCTTGAAGATCTTCGCCTTTCAGGTCCTAACCTCGTTAAATCCTTGTGTTATTTCTTCTTTCTCTATTTGCTTTGTTCTTTGCGTGTGATTGTGTGCTAGTTAATCACTCATATTCTGCAACATATATTATATAGTACGGTGAACTGAAAATATTAGTGTACTGAGATAGTTTGATAGAGAAAAAATCACGTTTAAGTTTTTCAATAAATATGAAAAAGGGCAGTCCGATGCACAAGGCATTCCGCTCAAGTAGAGTTCGGAGAAGGGCCGCACTCCAATGTGATGTAGACAGTATACCCTAACGCAAACATTAGTGGCCGTTTCCACGGCTCGATTTAAATTTTTGTAACAGTTGTATTGAGATGGAATGCTGTCATTCTTGGACTTTACAAAATGGGAGGAAAGGCATAGATTTGCTTAAAGTATCTCAAGAGTAACTATAATGTAGAAGACAAATCAAACGTTATAGTTGTTTATTTTTTGGGATTATAAACTAATTGGGAATTGGTTTAAATTGAATTCATTTTGTGGGGAGTTATATGTTACAATAGCTAGTATAACTGGGGAAGTTGAGTCTTAGAGCTCGTTTGATATGAGGGGTAATGAATAATTAATCCCGGGACTAAATTTAAGAAGAGTTTATCCCATGTTTGGTTGGTAGAAAAGTGCGGTATAATTAATCCCGGGATTGTAGTATTTTTTAGCCACATAGAAAGGTGGAATAACTAATCCCGGAATAATTAATTCTGGGATAACTTCTTTCCAACCAAACGACCCCTTAGTGTACAGTTTCTCATTTGTTCTTGATATATTTATATGCAGTTGTTTGAAACAATTTCACTTGATGTCATTTCTGCAGTAACATTGGACAATATAAATGAGAATGGGGGATCAAGAACTTCCTTTCAAAGAGATAAAACAACAAAAGTGAACCAACAGAAGGAGCTAAAGCATTTGTCTACTGCATCTATTCAGCCAGGAAGACCGAGTTTCTTGCGTAAAAGTTTAGCTTGGGATCATGCTTTCTTCACTAGTACAGGTTCTATTTTTAAATCCTTAGCATAATATTTCACCTGTTGTTGCTCTATGTACATGTCGATGCAGTTAGTCGCTCGTACAAATTTTGTATACTTGATGCATTGATTAGGTTTTGTTCTGTATAAGGTAATACCAATTAGTTGGAATTAAGTTTTAGTTATGTTGATGAGCCCTCGGAGTCGTTTTATCTTATCAGAGCCAGTAGAAAATATAGAAAACTTCTAGTGTTTACTTTTATTTCATATAATATTGGACTGAGATGAGTTTAAATGGAGCGACATGTGAGGATTCATATAGCCGACTCCAATACACTGTGATTGAGAGGCGGATGTTGTTGTATGTATTGACAGGTCTTCTGGATCCACATGAACTATCATTGGTGAATAAAGAGTTTGAAACATTAGAGGAGCATCCCTTGCCTGTCATTGTAGAAGATGTGCGCGCCCGAACAGCAGACCTACAGTCTATTTCAGATATTGGAACTAGCTCCAGAAACAAGGTTTAGTCACATAAGAACACTGTTGACATTATATTATGTGGTTCATTAACGGATTAACACTCCAATTTTAATTGACAGATCGATCGCAGGCCAGTTTCCAAAAGGAAAAACATCAGTAATGCAACAGCAGAGAGAAGTAACACAAAGGTTAGTGTTGTTATATTCATCTGTTAACTTCTATACACTGACAGTGTAAAAGATAACTGCCCGTAATCGGTTGGATCAGATAATAAGTAACCTGGAAAATAAGCAAATAACCTTCTAGAGTGTGTTAAATTATACGATTTGTGTGAAAATTCATTTACACTGTCAACGGATATAAGATAAAATCATTAGTACAATAGTGGATCTGAAGCGAGTTCTCGTGTTTCTTAGCAAACTTGTAAAAGAAGAGAGTGCAATTCACAAGCTCTCAAGTTTCCCAAAGTTCCACGTGCGACGAGGAGTGCTTCGTCTTGGCAAAGCGAATCAACACCAGAAATGTACATTGCAGATTTGAGAGGCAAGAAGACAACTAGAACTGGTAAGAGCCATGCATATAGAAACTTCTCTTTGCAAAAGAGGTTGTTTTACACTATATATTGACTCCTCTTGGCTTCTTTGTGAGTTTCTTTATGTTTTGACACCCCTTAATGAAAATTCTGGCACCGTTACTGCTTTGTAGGACAAGATTTAATGGTGTCGAATTCTACTACTACTCGCTCTTTGTCATCTCAGAAAATCGCTCATCCAATTTCATCAATCACCTCTTGTCCTTCATATATGACATCTGCTTATGCTAGGAAAAGAAGAGAAACCCGAAAGAGTGAACTCTCAGCCTCTATTTCGAGCTCAATTACACCAACAAGATCATCCACAAAGAGTAAAAGTTTTAAAAATCTTGTTAGTTCCTCAATGGAAATTCATCATTCCTATAATAAACCACCTCTCAGTACTACATGTTGCTGGTTCGTGGAATCACCGTCTTCAACTTCAAGCACCAATCAAGCTCATAGTGATTCAAAATTTGGTCTTAATATTACATTTGGACCAACTCAGAACGTATCGTCTTCAAGTCAACTAACAAGAGCTGTTGATTCAGTGCCACGGGAGAATTCCCAACCATCCGGTCTTCGCGTGCCATCACCAAAAATTGGATTCTTCGATGAGGTTGGCTTTGTATTCATATGTAATTATAAGCACAGAAGCATATGATATAAACTAGACGAATCGTTACTTTTTTTTTTTTTTTTTTTACAGGATAAGTCATTGGTCCCAACTTTAGACAGAAATTTGTATCAAACACAGAAGCAGGGAATAGCAACAAGTATAAGTAAAAGTGTTGAAGCATCAAGTAAAGTTAAACGAGCTCGAAGTTCGCCAGTTGAGGCTCGATATGCTGCACCTTTGCATAAGGTAAAAGATGCTTCATCTACGGCATCAGATAAGCGAAAACATATACATTTTGAGCATCAAACTGATAAATCTTTGGAGATTGACACTAAATTTTGCTCAAAGTTGAGGAAAGTTGGACTGAACTCCAGCTTGAGTGAAGATGAGAGACAAGTAATAAAGGAGACATTAAAGACTAAGGTAAGAAGTGAAAGAATGGTGACAAAAGCTGAAAAGGCGGTCAGTACAACAACAATAACTACGCCTCGATCCCAATCAAGTAGGGGTCGGCTATATAAATCCTCATTGTCCATGTCGCTCCATTTAACCCCGTCTCGAGACGAGGGGATCAGTGGCCCTTCAAAGTTAAGAGAGCAAGAACATGAAGTTAATGATTTGAGTAGATACATGGAGCTAATTGATTTGAATGATAGAAAAGAAATACAGCTTAAACAGAGAAAGAGCTTTCCTCATAAGAGAAGTCCATTGGTTGAGAATAAATCTGTATGCAACAGAGATGTGGTTCTTCAATCATCTTTGCTTTCTTCAAAAGGAAAAGACAAAGAGAACAATTAAGCACTATGGAAATCATTGATGGATACTTATCTTGTTTGACAAATTGTTATTCCTATAAGCTCTTGATAGACTTAGTTTGTTCTAATGCAGAATTCTGAAAATTCTTTGCAAATGTTTAAAAGTAGACACCTTTTGTCACTAGCATTAGTTGGCCATTTATCAACCAATGGGGCAATGACATTATTTTCTAGTGTTATCATATATGTCAAAAGCCACATTTTTGTCATTGCATAACAAACTCTCATATATAATAACACTAGAAATGAATGTCAAAACAGATTTAACACATTTAATATTGTGCAAGAATTCAGATAACTAAATTTTGTACAAGGGGCAACACATTAATTTCTGTTATTGAATTGGAACATCTATTCCTTTGTTTGTTGAGATGGAATCATATTTAAAATTTATGTAAAAGTACTACTGTGATGCCCATGATGGAGGGCTGGTCAAGTAGGACTGGCAGGCTTCTAGGCTGGCAAGCTTCTGAAGAAGGGGTGCACATGTCACCTGAGGCGAATTTTACATCGGAATGGGAGAGGAAGTGAAGAGCTTTATAAGGCATCATACAAGTTCACATGGTACGAGCGCTTTTGGGGCTCGAGGTGGCATAGCCCAAAAAGGACAAACCCGCGGGGGCCTTGGTCCAAAGCGGACAATACGTACCATGGGTTTAGGTACTTACAAATATGGTATCAGAGTCGAAAGGTGGTGGGGCAAACCTCAGCGAGTACGCTGAGTCCCAAGAGGGGTGAATGTGATGCCCATGATGGAGGGAGGGCTGATGGGGCAAGTCAAGTAGGACTGGCAGACTTCTAAACCGGCAAGCTTCTGAAGAAGAGGTGCAAATGTCATCTTAGGCGAATCTCACATCGGAATGAGAGAGGAAGTGAAGAGCTTTATAAGGCACAAGTTCACATGGTACGTGCTTTTTTGGGGCTCGAGATGGCGTAGCTTAAAAAGAAAAAATTCGTGCGGGATTAGGCCCAAAGCGGACAATACGTGCCATGGGCTTGGATCGTGAAAACAACACAATAATAGTAGTAATTTTAGGGAATATTTCTTATATATAGTATAATAGAAACTTATTTACCTATTTCTTTGTGCTTTGTAGTTTCCAATAAGTATCTAGAATTTTCTTACAAATTGTATATATTTCCCCTTAAAAGGCTTCCACCTTATTAGTGCCTTCAATTAAGGTATTCAATTAAATCCTTTCCTTTTTTGTCCTCTCCTCTCCTCTCTCCTTTTTTTCTCCTTTCCCTAATATTTTTCAGTTTATTCGCCTAACACACTCATCCACAAATTAGTCCATTCGACCAAAAAAATACATATGATTCTTAAGCATACATACATACAATTTCGGGTTTTAAAATTTTGCGATTTGTGTAGATTGGATATTCTTGCAAGTGATTGAGAATATTCTTTGGGGTTTATATATCTAAATTTTGAGGGAAATTGGTTAAGTATAGAGTTGGTTTTAGGTGAAAATTTAGAGTAAAACTCGAAGAAGAAGAAGTTGCAGGAATTGTATGATAATTGTGTAATAATTGCATCATAATTGTATAAGAATTGTATATGATACATCAATACCTAAAACATAATTGTATCATACTTATATCACAATTGTATCTAACTTGTATTTGATACATTAATACCTAATACAATAATAACACAATTTTCATACATTTGTGATACAAACTGCAACACATTTCTGAAAAATTGTGATACGGTTGTGATCTTCATCTTCTTCAAGTTTCAATCACAACTCTAAACTTAAAATCTAATATAATATTATATTATAACTGTATTATTATTGTATCAGATATTATTCTAGGTATTAATGCATCAGATACAAGTAACATACACTTTTAGTACAATTGTGACACAATTCTAAAATAATTATGGTATATTTATCATACAATTACCATATAATTCCTGCAACTTTATTTTTTTCGAGTTTCAATATGAAATTTTACGTAAAACCAACTCTAAACTTCACCAAATTTCCTCAAAATTGAGATATAAACTACAAGGTATATTCTCCATCAGTTGCAAGAAAACCCAATCAACAAATCACAAATTCATAAATTTTGAATAGTCAATTCAAAGTTTTAAAACTTTTTAATGAATGTCGATAGGAACCCTTTGTTGCTACAATTTTAGAGATAAAATTTTCGCCATTTTTGTTTACATTGTGAGAAAAGTATCGATTTTAGATGATAAGTATGAGCCAGAGAGAATGGGATGTGAAATCTTTTAAAAAATAGATGAAATTCAAATTTTAGGAGGGGGTTGGTGAAGGAGAGAGAATGAGATGTTAAACTTAAGGAATCTTCTATTTTTTTTTATATTTTTTTTATAGTTTGTACATAAATGGTGAATATAGATATATAATGTAATTAAGTATTAACCTAAATAAAAATGATAAATAAGTTTCTATTATAGTATAGCTAGATAAATTTTTCATACTCATCTTTATAGTTAAAGTACTGTTTAGACATATTTTGAAAAATCATAAATTAAAGAAAGTAGTTTGATTTATCGAATAATAGTAGATCTTAACTTCTATATGCTACAAAGGTTGTTTCGCACTTGACTGAGACTAACAATCAAGGTATTAAAAGGACTCAGAGCAAATCTAGGATTTTGTAGAAATGCAGGATTACTGGCCGATAGTCATTCTTTAGGTGCATATACTTTTAGCTTGAGTGCTTTCAAGCCCGAATATGTAAAAGAATTTTTACATCTATTAAGTAGGGTTTTGACATAAGAATTGTAAAATTCCAAAAAATGTGGAAAAAAAATTCAAGTGAAAATGGTATTTAAAATATAGGTTTTGTTTGGACATAAATTTTAGTTTGGGTTGTTTTTGAAGTTTTGTGAGTGATTTGAGTGAAAATTTTGAAAAAATAGCTTTTTGGAGTTTTTCAAATTTTCGAGAATTTTCAAAATGCATCTTTAAGTGAAATTGAAAATTTTATGAACAAATGCTAATTTCGATAAAAAAGTAAAATTTTTTTAGAAAAAAGGAAAAAAAAATTATGTCCAAACGGGCTCTAAGTTACTTAAAAAATAAATTATGGAGTAACAAATTGAATTACATTGGTAGCTTTAAAGTTCTTTACAAGTTAAATGCAAAATAAGATTGCTATTTCCAAGCCCTCCATCATCCACCTTACTCTTAAAAGTTTTTATATTGATTGTCAACATCACATCACAATGAGAATTTGATGAAAGCAATTGGGATGCCCTTTTCACGCATGTAAAAAGTTGCTTTGCTTAAAAAGTGATGGTCCTTTGTAGAGTGGGCATAAAATGAATAGCCTTTTTCCCTTTATGTCACTCATTTCAAGGGGGAAAAAACACCATAGGTCTTTGAGCATTATTCTCTCTAGGATATGAAGGTAAAAGAGGATCTGTAAGTCAAGAATTTTTCTCACAACCGCTCTATCCGAGCCAATTTGCATGCACCTCGACTATATGCACAGAGTATTTGCTAGCTTTCACCAGCATAGATGTCAGTTAATTTTGTCCACCAGGCTTGGACGGATAAGAAGAAATCACCTAGTGTTTTTATAAAGTTATAAATTTTATTAAGAATGTTGAGATTTATTATGTATATAAAAAGTAATATTTGATTCATACATATAGTTTTCCGGCAAAAAGTGTTCAACTGACCATCCGTATCCGCTCCTGCTACTGGATGCCTGTTGTTTGTATATTTTCCAACAATGGAGGGCCCCGGGCTAATGCCTTGCTGCTTAGATAGCTTAAGCATATTTTCATTACATGTCTGAGAAATCAAGAATCGAAGTGAATAACTTGTCGGGTTGATTTTTAGTAATTACTGATCAGTGTCTCAATGTAAGCAACTGGGATGATTGACATCACCTGATTCCTCAATGATAATCTTTGGCACTATTTGTTTCCTTAGTGCAATATTAAGAGATTCGATTCCCAACCACATTTCAATGTATTATCACTTTTTGGTTTATTAATGTGTCAGGAAAATATTAAAGATGCTCATTGTATAGGATAAAATTGGTCGATAACAAGTGACCGAATGGTAAGATGACATGTGGAGTCGAAGATAGATAAAGAACGAGTCGAAAAATAATTCGTAGCAAATGCGACATGTGTGATCGGTACCAGATGGATTCCGAAAGGAACATAGTTGGCGGCAGAAGTTCAATGATTTCTCATCGGACAACATTCAATGAGGGAATATTTGCTAGCGTTAAATGAGCAGTCATTATAGAGAATATTTGCATTCAAGGCCTGTCGTTACATCTTCGTCAATGACATTTTTATTCTCATTTAAGGAGGAGCTTGGTCCTAGGATCATATTTCCCTAGATAGAACTATAAATAGTGAAGGTTAACAACCATTGTGGGGAAAAGAAATATTAAGCACGCAAAAGCTATATTTTATTATTTTTCCCTTATACTTTACTATTTAGCTTTCAATTTAATTGCTTTGTTATTATTTTTGTCTCTGCTCTTGGAAAGGTTGAGTTGTGAACCATGCTTGTTATCTTCTTTAAATTAAGTAGTTAAATCTTAATTTTAATCTTATTTCTTTATCACTATTTGGATCAAATCATTTCGCTTGTCTCTAAATCACGTTATATATTCAATTGTACTTTACGGGTAAACAGTTTGGCCCCCACCCTGGGGCATAGAGAACCGCGTAATTGCTTTGATCCAATTGTTTATTACTAACAATTTTCGATTCTTTTCTTAGTAAAAATCATATATGGCAGCCAATGATACCAATAACACACACAACATTGAAGCACGCGTTGAACGGGACAAATTTTCCCAGCACGATGATTCGATCAGCGAGACCCGCAATGAAGGGGACGAGATGACCTCGATTCGCGAAGGTCAGTATCCTCGGCATGTGCAAGGACCAACTCCTGACGATGCGGAGGAAGAACATGTCGTAGAAACGGTCAAACTCCTGAGGGAACAACAGAGACCAATCATGGATCACCTCTCAAGACAGGATCGGGTGATGATCCAATTAAAACAAGCATTGACAGGTGCTTCCAATAATGCGAACGGAAGGGGCCCGATTCCTCCCTGTGTTCCCGCAAATCAAACGGCTCTTAGAACCAAAAACAATACCCCAAGGGGAAAAGTCGGCTTCGTCCCGGAGGAACCGGTAGCGGATCTGAGAATAATAACGAGG